TTGACCCTGCCCTTGATAAAACACATTGGACCAACAACAGCAGATGACATGACATCCCAGTGACTGTGGAAACTTGACACTGGACCTCAAGCAATGTGAATTCTGTGTCTCCTCTCTTCCTCCAGACTCTGGGACCTTGATTTCCAAAGGAAATGCAAAATTTACTGTAATCAGAGAACATAACTTTGGACCACTCAGCAGCAGTCCCAGGCGAGATGCTTCTGATGCAGTCTCTGGTTCAAAAGTGGCTTGACCTGGGGAATGCGGCACCTGTAGCCCATTTTCTGCACACGCCTGTGCACGGTGGCTCTGGATGTTTCTACTCCAGACTCAGTCCACTGCTTCCGCAGGTCCCCCAAGGTCTGGAATCGGCCCTTCTCCACAATCCTCCTCAGGGTCCGGTCACCTCTTCTCGTTGTGCAGCGTTTTCTGCCACACTTTTCCCTTCCCACAGACTTCCCACTGAGGTGCCTTGATACAGCACTCTGGGAACAGCCTATTTGTTCAGCAATTTCTTTATGTGTCTTACCCTCTTACTTGAGGGTGTCAATGATGGCCTTCTGGACAGCAGTCAGGTCGGCAGTCTTACCCATGATTGCGGTTTTGAGTAATGAACAAGGCTGGGAGTTTTTAAAAGCCTCAGGAATCTTTTGCAGGTGTTTAGAGTTACGTCGTTGATTCAGATGGTTAGGTTAATAGCTTGTTTAGAGAACCTTTTCATGATATGCTAATTTTTTGGGACAGGCAGTTTGGGTTTCCATGAGCTGTATACCATAATCATAAGTATTAAAACAATTAAAGATCTGAAATATTTCAGTTGGTGTGCAATGAATCTGAAATATATGAACGTTTCATTTTTATCATTACATTATGGAAAATAATGACCTTTATCACAATATGCTAATTTTTTTAGAAGGACCTGTATATATATGTACACATATATACGTATATACACGCATATATACACACACACATATATGTATATATACACATATATATATATATATATATATATACACGTATATACATTTTACATATTTACATAGACATACATATATACACATATTTACATATACATTCCTATATATACATACATACATATATACATATACACACATATATACATATACATACATATACATACATATATATATACATACATATATATACATATACATACATATATATATACATACATATATATACATATACATAATATATATATATATACATACATATATACATATATATATATATATTATACATACATACATATACACACACACACACACACACACACACACACACACACACACACACACATATACATATATATATACATATATATATATATATACATACACATACATACATATATATACATACATATACATACATATATACATATATATACAAACCGGATTCCAAAAAAGTTGGGACACTAAACATATTGTGAATAAAAAGTCAATGCAATGATGTGGAGGTGCCAAAATCTAACATTTTATTCAGATTAGAACACAAATCAAATGTTTAAACTGAGAGAATGTATCATTTTAAGGGAAAAGTCTGTTGTTTCCAAATTTCATGGCGTCAACAAATCCCAAAAAAGTTGGGACAAGTCCATTTTTACCATTGTGTGGCATCCCCCCTTCTTCTTACAACACTCAACAGACGTCTGGGGACAGAGGAGACCAGTTTCTCAAGCTTAGAAATAGGAATGCTCTCCCATTCATGTCTAATACAGGCCTCTAACTGTTCAATCGTCTTGGGCCTTCTTTGTCGCACCTTCCTCTTTATGATGCGCCAAATGTTCTCTATAGGTGAAAGATCTGGACTGCAGGTTGGCCATTTCAGTACCCGGATCCTTCTCCTACGTAGTCATGATGTTGTGATTGCTGCAGAATGTGGTCTGGCATTATCATGTTGAAAAATGCAGGGTCTTCCCTGAAAGAGATGATGTCTAGATGGGAGCATATGTTGTTCTAGAACCAGAATATAGTTCTCTGCATTAATGGTGCCTTTCCAGACATGCAAGCTGCCCATGCCACAAGCACTCATACAACCCCATACCATCAGTTATGCAGGATTCTGAACGGAGCGTTGATAACAACTTGGGCTATCCTTGTCCTCTCTGGTCCGGATGACATGGCGTCCCAGTGTTCCATAAAGAACTTCAAATCATGACTCATCTGACCACAGAACAGTCTTCCATTTTGCCACACTCCATTTTAAATTACCCCTGGCCCAGTGCAAACGTCTGAGCTTGTGGAGCTTGCTTAGAAATGGCTTCCTCTTTGCACTGTAGAGTTTCAGCTGGCAACGGGGGATGGCACGGTGGATTGTGTTCACTGACAATGCTTTCTAGAAGTATTCCTGTGCCCATTCTGTTATTTCCTTGACAGTGGCATTCCTGTTTGAGGCAGTGATGTTGAAGGGGCCGGAGATCACGAGCATCCTGTAGAGTTTTACGGCCTTGACCCTTACGCACAGCGATTGTTCCACATTCTCTGAATCTTTTCATGATGTCATGCACGGTTGATGATGATAACTTAAAAGTCTTTGCTCTTTTACGCTGGGTAACACCATTCTGGTATTGCTGCACTATCTTTCTGCGCAACAATGGTGGAATTGGTGATCCTCTTACCATCTTGGCTTCTGAGAGACACTGACACTCTGAGAAGCTCTTTTTATACCCAATCATGTTGTCAATTGACCTAATTAGTGTTAATTTGTCTTCCAGTTGTTCATTATATGCACAATTTCCTTTTTTCCAGCCACTTATTGCTACTTGTCCCAACTTTTTTGGGATTTTGGGTGAAATTTTGAATCAACATATTTTTCCTTTAAAATGTTACATTTACTCAGATTAAACTTTTGATTTGTCATCTATGTTATATTACGAATAAAATATTGACATTTGCCATCTCTACATCGTTGCATTGAGTTTTTATTCACAATTTGTTTAGTGTCCCAACTTTTTTGGAATCCGTTTTGTAGTGTAAAGTGCTTTGAGTATCTTGATAAGATAGAAAAGTGCTATATAGTGTTCTAGAATTGCGCCGCTCAAGATGGCTGCATGTTGGAGCAGCTGTTACTTTCATTCTGAGATTTTGCTTTTGGAAACTTTCATTCCTGGTTTTCTGGATGTAAATCACTTTTTTTGGATGATTGTTTCCTCTGGTATCAGATGCTGTGCAACTGGAAGGATTTTTACTGAAACTTTTTTAGTTTTGGACATTTGTTATGATGTGTAACCATGGCAACAAGGCAGTTTTCTACAACAACAGCAGCTGATTAACATCTCAAAAGCTTAAATAATATCTCAACTACAGCCCCAACTCTCAAATGAGTTGAAAAGGATGTTCTGTGGATGCATTCTCATCTACCTGCCGACTGTGCTCGAGTGCCTGACCGCTGGGATCCTGGAGCTGGCAGGAGGCACGGCTCATGGCAGCAGAAGGACAGGATCGTCCCTCAGCACCTACAGTTAGCTGTCCGCAGCGACAAGGAGCTCGGCAGACTGCTGGGAGGAGTGGCCATCGCTCTGAGAGGAGTTCTGCCTGGCATTCAGGTGGTCCTACAGCCCGGGGGAACAGAGAGGCCAGCCGAGTCTGGGTGGACGGATCAGACGACATCTGCAGACTGTTTCTTAGAATCCACTGTGGGATGGACCTTTACAAGAGATCCTTCCCGTCTACAGCCATCAGCATCTATAACATCTCTTAATGAAATGAGGATAACAAGCTACAATAACAAATAATTTCCCTCTGGGATTAATAAAGTATTTTTGAATTGAATTGAATTGAATATAAGTACAGTCCATTTACCAGAGGTTGTAGATGTATTGCTGGTTTCAGGAGTCTGCTTGAGTGGAAGGGGTGATGAGGAAGTCTGAATGGTAGATAAGACAACTGCCAGTTTGTGTTCAATGGAAAACATCCTTCCACACAGCTCCTCCAAACTAGCCTTGGTGGTTTGTTGCTGGGTGAGGATCTGTTGGAGAGTAGTCTCATAATTATCAATGCACTTATTTTCTATTGTTAGGGAATAGTGAATCTGCTCAGTCACTTTTACTCTGGGAAGACATGTCTTGGCTGGAACATTCTATCATGATTTACACCGTTTTCATCCAAAGTAGAAAAACTGATAGTGAGAGAGATGCCCATGTGACAGGGTAAGTGGTCTAAGTGATTTTAAGTGAGTATTAATAGAATCTGGAACTCAGGATGAACATTAGTTTAGTTTTAGTTTGTCTTCATTGTAGACGAGGAGAGGAGGAAGAAGGATTCCAACAGGTGGTGGAGGAAGAGCAGATGAGGTGAGTATTGGTTTGAAGGAGAGTGGCAGGATGGAAACTCAAGAACTGACCCAGTTAGAGAACGAGGTGCTGAAGTGATTCCAGGCTGTAGATCTCACAGCAAGGTAAATCAGTGGGTACTCGAGGTAACAGGACTTCCACAGGTAAGTAACTCAGTACTGAAGAAAACACAAGTTACAGTACAGGTTAGGAGTTTCTTATCAGAAATTAGAAACAAAGACTTGTTACCTGAAGGTCTCAAATGTTACAGTGGAGATCTACTGAGCCACAGGTCCTGGAGTACAACAGACCTCATCAGGCTGGATCAGGAACAGGTGTGAAAGGTAAGCTCCACCCTGCCACTCAGGAGCTGAAAGCACTGTGGTGTGGAACTTTGTAAAGTGCTTTGTAGTATGTACAGTATGGATTTGACATTAAAATATTTATTGCTCCAAATGGTTTAAGGCAAGTCAGATAACAAACAACATTAGAATGATTAATACAGGAGAATCAGATTATTATGACATCTGTTCATGCCTCATTAAACAAGGTCAACAATAATTGATCTTGAATTTAACTTTTTCATTCTGAACCCACTCAAAGTCAAAATTAATTTTCAAATCAAAAGCACTTAACATAGCTAGATTTCAAGCTCCTTTGTGTGTGATATGTTTCTTGTTGTTGTGCATTCCTGCCGCCTCAGAAACCACGCGAGTATTTGGGATGAAGATTGCAATCATCGGTCAGAGTCTGTTTGGTCAGGAGGTTTACAAGGAGCTAAAGAAGGATGGCCACACCATCGTAGGAGTCTTCACTATCCCTGACAAAGATGGCAAGGCTGACCCTTTGGGTATGAACCTACTGATCTTTGTGCTTTTTATTTAGCATCAATATCACTGCATACTGTACACTGCCTCTTTCACTACCAGAGCTGAGCTTTGCCGTTTAAGCTAAATAAATCACATTCTTGTGTTTATCACACCTGCAAGAAATGCACAAAAACTGTTTCAATCCCACAGGGATGTAGCATCTTTCAGTTACTTCACAGATTTACAATAGTAGCCAAAAAAAAACAAAAATTAGCCACAAGATATTAAAAAGTGCAGCACAGTGGCACAACTGGTAGAGCTGCTGCTTCTCAGCGAGCAGGTCCTCGGTTCAAATCCAGGTCCGGGGGCCTTTCTGGGTGGAGTTTGCATGTTCTCTCCGTGCATGCGTGGGTTTGCTCCGGGTACTCTGGTTTCCTCCCACAGACCAAAAACATGCATGTTAGACTGATTGGTAACTCTAAATTGTCCCTAGGTGTGAGTGAGAGAGTGAGGGTTTGTCTCATTTGTTTCTATGTATCCCTGTGATGGACTTGCGACCTGTCCAGGGTGTCCCCCACCCCTCGCACAGTGATTGCTGGACATGGGCACCGGCAACCCCTGTGACCCAAAATGGAAGAAGCGGGTAAAAGATAATGGATGGATGGATGGATAGATATTAAAAAGTACAAAATATACAAAGCAGGATGTAGGAAAATATACACAGCTAGAAAATGTTAAGGAAGATGTTCCTGAAAAGAAATGGTAACATTAGTGATTACTGGGGAGTACTAATGCCACATATTTTTTAAAACAAATCCAGAAACAAGTACATAAATTTGAGTTCTTGCAATACTGAGTACAGGTACAAGTACTAATCAGTAACTTGTGGTGAGGGGAAGCACAATGAAAACAAACAAACAAGAAAACACACATTATTTAAAAGAAGCAACTTTATATTTTTGTATTTAGTTTGTGTTATGAATACATATTCCTGAAAGATATTTTCCTTGATGTTGCCAACATAATGTTTGTACACTCTTTCATTATATGCTATATTTTTCCACAACAATGCTAAAAAATTTCACACGTAGTTTATACATATTAAATCTTGTTGATCTGATATAAAAGCAGCATTCATTAAGTCAGGAGGGAGACATGCAGTAACTGTGCGCTGGAGTGCCTATGAGCCAACAGCCAGATTGTTATTCTCCTGTATTTCTGTGAAATATTGAACCACATCTAAAAAAGTTAAATCTGGTCCTCTGGACATTCAAAAAAAAAAACAAAGCAAAACAACAAAAAAATGTAGAAACGTTTTTTTGTTGTTTTGCTTTGTTTTTTTTTGTTTTTTGAATGTCCAGAGGACCAGATTTAACTTTTTTTAGATTTTTCTACCTGGATTATTGAGCATGCATCAGGATATTGAACCACATCATTATCTGCTAAAACAATCAGAAAGTGAGGTGCTCTGTACAATCTGTTCATACTTTGCTCTGACTACTAAAATGGAATGATATATATTTTTTTATTTAAAACCATCTCAAACTGGATTTTGAATCAAAACGTGAAGTGATTTACATCTAATTGTGAAGCAATGAAACAGTTTTTTAGTGCAAACTTCCCAGGGAGGTTATCCCTGATAAGCAGCTCTCACACATTTGAGAAAAATGCTTTTTGATTACTTTTTATTCAACCTTTATTTATACAGGTTAGTCTCACTGAGCCTCGAGAACTCATTTACAAGAGACCTGTTCTTAACAAAGAGTGATGACAATATTAGAAAACAATGACAATAGTAGACAATCATAAAAGAAAGCACATAAATTGAAAATAAATGGAAGAAAATTATATTAAAAAGCGAAACAAAAACAGCTACATTATAAAGCGATGTAAAATACTAAAAACAGGAACATGTTTACTTAAGATGGAATGGAATATAAAATAGCAGAGCTTAGAAGTGAATACAAGAAGACATGGGAAGAGCAGCAGTTTTACTCTGTAATGTAAAATATTAGGTCGTTTTCACACCAGATAGTCCGGTAGACTTGGTTCGGGACCAATATTCATGACATTTTGTTTACATTTGAGCTGGTGTGTTTGCATTCACACTGCACTGTGCAGTGGAGTCAACCTGTTGAACCAACCTGTTCCCCCGCTCGCCTGTGGGGGCGCTGCACCAATAACTACTGAAAGAAATGACACAATAACCTCTGAAGACACGTCTTCTTTTTCTTCTGTAAATAAAAATAAAAACGAAGTGACATCAAGTTTTAGCAGTTTTAGGAGTTATATTTTGTCATTTTTTTAAAATGGACTTAGCATGAGCAGAAGACCATGGAGAATATTGTTTTTCCACACAAGGTAGCTGACGGCTCCATATAAGGTAAGAAAAATGCGTGTTTGTTTGTCCTGCGGAGCGGGGCTCGGTCTGTTTACATTCACACTGTACTCGAACCACGCTGGAGTTCGCTTCTACTGGACCGAGACCTAGGTTTTAGCCCGGGCCAGAGTTCACCTTTTTATTCCGTGACAGAGTTCGATGGTGCGTTCACACCTGCATTCACACCAGCCCTGTTTAGTCCGCTTTAATCGAACTCTAGCCCGTTTTCCTAGAAAGTCCGGTTTGTTTAGGGAGGTGTGAACGCGCCATCGAACTCTGTCACGGAACAAAAAGGCAAACTCTGGCCCGGGCTAAAACCTAGGTCTCGGTCCAGTAGAAACGAACTCCAGCGCGGTTCGAGTACAGTGTGAATGCAAACAGACCGGGCCCCGCTCCGCAGGACAAACAAACACGCATTTCTCTTACCTTATATGGAGCCGTCAGCTGCCTTGTGTGGAAAAACAATATTCTCCATGGTCTTCTGTCTCATCTTCTGCTCATGCTAAGTCCATTTAAAAAAAAAAAAGACAAAATATAACTCCTAAAACTGCTAAAACTTGATGCCACTTCGTTTTTGTTTTTATTTACAGAAGAAGAATAAGAAGACGTGTCTTCAGAGGTTTTTGTGTTGTTTCTTTCAGTAGTTCTTGGTGCAGCACCCCCACAGGCGAGCGGGGGAATAGGTTGGTTCAACAAGTTGACTAAACTGCACAGTGCAGTGTGAATGCAAACACACCAGCTCAAATGTAAACAAAATGTCCTGAATATTGGTCCCGAACCGAACCGAGTCTACCGGACTATCAGGTGTGAAAACAACCTAAGTAAACTGCACACTGAAAAAAATAAAATAAAATTTGTGAATTGCCCCGAATAATCAGTTTAAAGTGCCAGCATTCAGAATCTCCTGTCAATAATAATATATTTATACAAGAATACATTCAGGACCTGGGTCTTAACAGCATTATGTGTGAATCTGATTTTGTCACTTTGCCTCAGCGCGCATAAACTTCACCACATGTCACCGGTACAATTAATGCCACAATAGTTACTTTGTGTTTGAAAAATCAGAAGAGCTTACTCTTGATGCCATCACCTAAAATGGAGCCAGTATAGTAGTTGTCTTCTTCAGTAGTGACCATTGGTGATAAGATGTTCATGAAGCTTGTTTCTCAAATTTGTATATTTTCTGCAGTCTTGGTATTATTTTAGAATTAATCACAGAATTTTATTTCTACCTATTGGTTGTTGATGGTTGGTGTTGTTTCATTATTATTATTATTATTATTATTATTATTATTATTATTATTATTAT